TCCCAAGCTGTTCCCCTTCATCTTGCTAGTGTTTTAATGTTTATTCTGCTGCTGCATTATGCACCGTTACATACACACACCTCACCCATCACAAAATGAGAGCGAAAGATATCCCCTGTCTGTGGCTAAATGAGAGGATTATCCCTTCATTATAGTATGCCACCGCTGCCTCTGAGGCAAACAAACCTTTTTATTTGCCTCAACCTCACAGGATGAGCCACATTAATGTCCCAAACACAGAGACGCATTACAGTCAGGGTGACAGGCATATTAGGAACACTGTTTTAACATTTTTTTCTTCTTCTAACAGCCTGTGAAGAAGGATCACAGCCAGCTGGCTTGGAGTGGCTGTTCCAAAGTAAATCCGAATGAAACCACAGGACAGCGTTTGAGGTATAATGTGAGAATTAGGATATTGGACTTGACAGCATGGGAGCAGTGACTGCCTGGAATATTTTCCGCATTCTAGTCTTCTTCAATACTTGACAATTTTTATAGTTTTATTTTGTTTGAGCCTCTTGGTACTTAGACTCCCAAAAGCCTTAAAAGCACGGTCTTAGGTATGCCTTCGAACAAAAGCCAAGCAAGGGCAGAGCCTTGCATTCTTCTTCATTTTGAACAAAGCATCTAGAGGCGGCATTAAAATGACTTTCATTAAGGTCAAGAATAGTAGATGTATGGAATTGCTTATGCTTTATCACTGGCCTGACGCTTAGCATCCACCTATCTAAGAACAGGATTTGTTTCTAGTCATATGTACTACACAGGGCTCCAGACTACGCCTAAAACGGTCGCATTTGCGACCAAAAATATTAATTTGCGAGTTAAGTTTTTGCAACTGGCGACTATATAAATTTACGTTATGATTTTAAAACTTGCATATAATGCCTTTTTCCTGATTGTTTTGCGATCACATCATATGTTATGTTGACGTAATAAACTGAGACAATGTGCATCAAAGTTTTAGTGGAAAACTTAACGAATACCAGCGTTGACAGCAGCACACCTGCTAAAAGCAGGCTCCAGTTGTGGCAGCATGAGAGAGATAGAAAATGACGGAGACGTGCGTTTTTTTGTGTGTATTTTTACTGAATTTTTATTTCAATTAGATTGCTTGCATCAACAGCCGTGTTGATATTTTGTACAACATCTTGTGTGGTACTTCAGAATTTATTAAAAACACAGGCCACTGGGCCAAGAAGATGGTGGTCACTGATGAGATTTGCAAAGGTTAGCAAGGTGTGAATGTTCATGCATCAGTCTTAGGATGTGTTAAACACATTATATATTGTCATAAAGAGTGAAAGCAGAGCTCCATTGATTAGTCGAGCCTGCAGGCAATTACACTGACTGTTAAATTCAATGCAGGCATACGGGAAAGCTAACAGTTAAATAACTGAAACAGCCAAGCTTGAATTTCTGCCCATTCAGCATGCTGTCACCTCATGTGGTGTTTACTTGTGTGTGTTAATACTTTCTTTTTCTTTCTACACTCTCCCCCTCTCACTATCTCCTTCGGTTTACTTTCATCTTCCTCTCCACGCTATTTCTGCTTTCTCTCGCGCGCGCTATCTCATCCCGGCTGTCTTTCTTCTGTCCTCTCTTCCCTTTTTGGTTCGCTCACTTCATTTTGGTTCCATTCAGGCTTCAATTTGAATGCAGTCAAAGGGCCTTATTGGCAGGAAAGATAAACATTTACTTCATGGAGCCGGGGAAGGCCAATACAAATCAAGCTGTTGACAAACTCAAACACAGGCAGCTACAGGATTGACGGCGGCTTTAGGGATGAGGCTCTTGATCTGTAGGTTGACTTGTGTCTCTGTTTTGTGTGGCCCATGCACACACACACACAGCAGACCGGAGTCTTTTTGGCTCTATTATGCTGCATTCGTCAAGCGTTCAATCTTTCTCGCTCTCCTCTTTGTCTCCCAAAGCCATTTCTGAGTCTGTTTCTTCTGGCTGCATTCAATTCTCTCGGCTTCTCTGTATTCTGTTGTGGGTTTTCTTATGGTGAATTGTTTTATATCGCAGCATGCGGCCTGTGCCGAGGTTGAGCTACAAACAATCATTATACATCACTTTGACGGACTGAGTTGTAAAATTTCTGTCATGGTCTATTTTTGTACATTTTTGATTTCCCTGGTAATTCGTTTACTGTTCCATTTGTATACGTGCTCATTATTCCATGCATGCACCTCTTCTGAGATTGCTTTATCTGTGAGCAGCATATGTGAAATATCACGCACATGGTATTTTATTAATGCGCTACACTCTCAGAAAAAAGGTACAAAAGTTGTGACTGGGGCGGTATCTTTTCAAAAGGCACACCTTTGTACCTAAAGAGTCCATATTGGTACCTTAAAGGTACATACTAGTACCTAAAGTGTACATACTAGTACCTAAAAGGTACAAAATTGTACCTTTTGATAGGGTACCGCCCCAGTGACAACTTTTGTACCTTTTTTTCTGAGAGTGTAGGAGCAATAATTTAGGCCTGTATCAGTCCTGTTTAGGTCTACAGTGACCTGAACACATTTGATTTGAAAGGTCTTGTGTTCATTTTTATGCTTGCGTACGTCTACACTTTCCTCTTTGCCTGAAAAGTTTTGGAAAACCACCCATTGTAAGCTCATGTTATTCGTCAGTCAACTGTATAGCATCCCATAATTACTATGTGAATCAATGTTAAGTATAGAAACACAATAGACCAGATACCTTACTTTTTTATCTGTCAAAATGACCATTCTGAATCATCCATCATGGTTTTAAAAATGTGGTTTTCGGTTTCCAGTTAACAACATCAGCTAGTCACCGCAACTGCTGCAAATATGTTTTCAGGTGCTAATAAACAGCAATGTACTCTTTTGCAATGGTCCTGAATGTTTGATCACATCACATCCACAGCATCTTGTGTATGGCTCATATTATAGCACTGGGACAAGAAACAGGCATCTTGTGTGTGTGGGTATCTTCTTTCTCGATGTGTGGATGGGATTATATACCTGTGTTTGTATGTGTGTTAGTGAAGGGCATTGAAAAAACAGGCGTGTTATGTTTAAAAGTGGCATGTTTGTAAAGGAAGCCTTTAATAGCTTAAGTGGGTGATGCAACACATGGACAGAGTGGTGTGGACAACAGCCAAGTTAAACAAAATCGAGGACTATGTCTGGAATGGAATAATACCATACTGCTTCCTGCAAGTTGTGTATCATATACTGTGAGCGGAATATGCATTATTCAATGTGCTATCTTGCAGTATTGTTTTCACATGTCCTCACTATTTTGCATGATTGCAATGAATAATATTAAAATGTTGCATATTTAATTCAACTTCTAGCATCTAGTTATCTAGGTTGTCATTTGGTTGTTTTTATTTTATTATGTTGTGTGTTGTTGTTTTTTTTTAATCTAATTTTATTTATAAATGTATACTGCAGATTTTGGATAATGTAGTCGGTCATCCAGGCATTTAACACATACATACAAAAAATGTGTATGTAAGGTGCTATTCTCAACATGCCATATGTTTGTTTTGGGATGCACAAGTCTGTATTGGATATGTAACTATGCATGCTCATTTCCCCCATTTTTACATTTAAATTACTTTTGCTATCATCTAACACTCACTTATAGTTAAAGGAACACTGAGTTTTACCGTTTTTGAATCCATTCAGCCGATCTCCGGGTCTGGCGGTAGCACTTTTAGCTGCAGCTTAGCATAGATCATTGAATCTGATTAGACCGTTAGCATCTCGCTCAAAAATGACCAAAGAGTTTCTATATTTTTCCTATTTAAAACTTGACTCTTCTGTAGTTGCATTGTGTACTAAGACTGACGGAAAATGAAAAGTTGCGATTTTCTAGGCAGATATGGCTAGGAACTATACTCTCATTCCGGCGTAATAATCAAAGAACTTTGCTGCCGTACTATGGGTGCTAACGTACTATGGGTATGTTGTATATGCTCCGGAATGAGAGTATAGTTCCTAGCCATATCGGCCTAGAAAATCACAACTTTCCATTTTCCGTCGGTCTTAGTACACAATGTAACTACAGAAGAGTCAAGTTTTAAATAGGAAAAATATAGAAACTCTCATTTTTGAGCGAGATGCTAATGGTCTAATCAGATTCAATGATCTATGCTAAGCTGCAGCTAAAAGTGCTACCGCCAGACCCGGAGATCGGCTGAATGGATTCGAAAACAGTAAAACTCAACTGTTTAACTCTAGGGGAGTTGGAAAATGAGCCTATTTTCAAAAATAGTGGAGTGTTCCTTTAATCTTTAAAGGCAATAACAAAAAATATTTTCTATATTTTTTCTATATGTATTCTTTTTTTAAATATTTGTATTTTTTTAAATCGTGGTGCAATTATACATAATTGTATTTTGTGATTCATTTAGAGTGTGAAAAAATATTTTTGTCTTGCTTCATCTTCTCTGTTAAAGGGATAGTTCACCCTAAAATGAAAATTTGCTGTTAATTCACTACTACATCTTGGATTGCCTGAGGGTAAGTAGATTATCAGCAAATTTTCCTTTTTGGTGAACTATACAGTAACTTTAACATATCGAAACAAATGCTGATACTGTCTTTTTCCTTTTTTTTTTATCTCTCTTGTTGAAAAGCATCAATAAAACAGTTAAACTGTAAATTAATAACACTGTTAATGCAATCTTTAAAAAAAATCTCAAAATGAATCTCCATTTTTCATTTTGTACATTTATAATGTTTTGATGTCTAAATTCACTGGTAGCATTTAACATGACAATTTTATATTTTTTGTATTTGTAATTAATTTTTATTTAGACAAAATTGTATATATTTAGGCATAACCGAATTTTAATCTCAGCCATTTATTGGCTACTGGCCATAACATGAAAATGATTATCTGCTTGTCGATATCGGACAGAATTTTAATATTGTGCATCTCTAGTTTCTTTCTTAATTCTGTATGTCAGTGGATGATTTCTCATGCATAATTTCGTACCTGCCCTCCAGGTGGCGGTGCAGGCAGCCAGACGACCTTTCTCCATGAGGAGCAGTGGAAGATGCCGGCTCTGCCAGCGCTGCTGCTGTCGATTCACCTCCTCGTCCTCCTCCTGCTGTTGCTTCTGCTGACCATGGCCCCGTCCTCTCACAGCCAGGCGCCCGCTCTCGTAGTCGTCAGGATGGGTGAGAGTCCACCACTTCCTGTTAGAAAACACACAAAAGTGCATCTTCGCATCATCTCTCCGTTTCTAGGTGTTGCTTTACTGGTCCAAGTCAAAACTATGGGATCATCTTGCCTGTTTTATCATGGGAAAACCTCCTCAAAAAGCCACATAATTTGAGGTATCATTCATGTCTGTAGCAGAAAAAGTGCTGAGAATGGTGTCAGTGTCAGGGGTAACAGTAATAGTACTGCTGGCCTTTACCTATGCAACTGTGGCACTAACCTAGTCCACTTTCTAACCATTAAGAGGTCTAATTCTGCCTCAGTTCTTCCAGCTTTATCTACAGAGGCTATTTGAAAAATAAAACACTTTTTATTTTTTCGGTTGCATTGGTCTCCTGATAACCCCAATGTTTTTCTTGTAATGGAGGCAGCAAGCATCAACGTGAAGTCCACATTTATAGTGACTACGAAGCTTGTTCTTGTTGTAATGTTTAAACGCATCTTCTGAAGTACTGACCTACTAGGCTTAATCTTTTTCAACTAAACACCTGTTATGCAGAGCAGAGAGCGTGAGTCGATAATCACAGATAAGTATGTTAGGATCATTTTTCTTCAAAATTTTTTTTTTTTTAATCAAAAATAAAATTAATCCGTTTTGAATCCGTTTAGAGCAGAGTTCAGGCAAAATTAGACAATATTATCGGATTCAAGCAGGAGCCTTTTTCAAAGTGTGATGTACTTGGCTGTTGCTTCACAGCATGTGACTGATTGCTTCAAGCATCAGCCTGTTCGTCTTGATTATTGCGAACAATAAAGCATCAATTAATCTCTGGCAAGCCTCCAAACGAAATGTGCTCAATAGCACAATCTAATCAGTTAACATCACAACATGCAACATTTGTTGCAAACTTGTTTCTGTACAGTCATGATGAGTAACTCCATCTTTTTGCAATAACAAACACAACTTCAATCATCAGCATCAGAAAACTCAATTAAATTTCAGAGCAGAATCAAAACACAGAGCTTTTTCTGTTCCTCTTCAGCTGCTATTTTAGATGATCAGTCACCGTGTGGACGTGGAGAGCGGTTGGCATTGGCTCTGGCCCGAGAGAACATCAACAGTGTGATGGAGGGCCCGGCACGAGCACGCGTGGAGGTCGACATCTTTGAGCTGCAGAGAGACTCTCAATATGAGACCACAGACACAAGTGAGTCCAACAAACCGACTACACACACACTGGTACTCGCATCAAATGGCATTCACAATTTGACTTCTGTAATGTGAAGTATTTTGAATGAAACGTTAACAGCTTGAATGAAAATCCAGCAAGAACAAATTGTAGGGTGGGACAGGATTTAATTGGAATTTGATTGGAAAATGTGAGGATGCTTTTTGAATGGAAAATCAAGGCTGAAGGTTGATTTCTTTTTGTATTATTATTAAAGGGGTCATATGATGCGATTTCTTTTTCCTTTCTCTTTGGAGTGTGTTACAAGCTCTTGGCATAAAGAAGATCTGTAAAGTTGCAAAGACTAAAGTCTCAAATCCAAAGAGATATTCTTTATAAAAGTTAAGAGTCAGCCACACCTACCTAAAACGGCTCGTTCTAACACACCCCCACATGTCTACGTCACGATGTGGGAAGATTTGCATAATGGTTAAGTTGTATTTACAACACTGTTCCAGAACACTTCAACCCAAATATTCAGATGTATGCAGCACATTTTATGGAGGACTGTTTACTGATCCTGGTAGAGTAGACTACAATGCCGGCTGTTCTGACTCACAAACTGTAAGTACGTTTTTTATATTTAAAGAGTTTTTATATTTTATATTTTTTATATTTAAAGCGAGTTTTTGGGCAGTGTAGCGTAGGACTTGTTGTTTGTCATTTCTCCAATCACAAATGCAGACATGGTTTTATGTTTACGCAGTGCGGCGCAGTGCGGCGCGATGCAACGCAACGCAATAATGTTCTTTTTAGCAACATCATATGACCCCTTTAAATATATTTTTATTTGCTGTATTATATTATATGTATTATACATTTTTCCATTATTGTTAATGAAAATTACATTTTAAGATTTTATGAAGTACCTAAATCAGTAGTCTAAAACAATGCCTTTTTTTTTTATATTTGTCGGAATTTGAATTATTAAAACTGGGCATGTTAGAGGATGCTTTTTTAATGGAAAGTCAAGGTTGAAAGTCAAGTTTGGATTGGCATTGTCATTTGCTTTTATACCATGGTTTGTCTGAATACTAAATTCTGATTGGCTGGCATGCATTAAAACCATTTAATGCACAGGTAGTTCCAAGTCAGTTTATTCACTGTTCTATGTTAATGCGCTGCTTTCATTGACGCACACACACACACACACACCACACAAATCACTCGCACAGAGACAGACAGAGAGAGAGATCAGAGATCGTGCTGCGCACAAACAGAAACATTCAGGAGCACAGAAATTTGTTGCCCCGAGACTTTTATTAATAAAATAGCTTACATACTGGATCTCTACATTATATTCATCAGCAAAGAGGGAGTAAAATCTTTGTTTTTGAAGTAACTAAACTCACAGCTTCATTGTTTGTAGAGAGAGAAACGCAGACACTGGTAATTCAGACACACGCATCGGTCACCTCTCTCTCTCAATGATTAATTCAAGTAAATGTTATAATTAATTAATTCAAATAAATGTGATCTTACTGCACTATATCATCTCTGTCTGATCTGAAGCAGGCAGAATGCGAGAGGTAACAAGCCGAGACTGACGAAAATAACCGTCATTTTTACCCTTCCGGTCAAATATTGCGCTGCAAACATCATTAACAGCTTTAACTTGTCACTGCTGGCCAATGACCATGGTATAAGCGGGATAATGTATTTGTAACGTAGCTTTAATGCACGACGTGGAGGCAAAGAACTCCCCGACGCAATATTTTATATATATATGTGT